CCCCAAAACCCCAAAACCCCAAAACCCCAAAACCCCTCAAATCTTTATAAACTGAAAAATATAATGAATTCTTATTAATGAAATAAATTTTAACACCTATTATATATTTTAATTTTCTTTCATAGAATGTTGAGTATATCGTTATTAAGGTTAGATATTACAGAATTGAGTTGGCTTCCAGAGCCACAGTTTAGACCAGTCCCTGCTCCCGCATTTGCAGCCCCGTATCTCTAGCTCTTTTTGTTAATCTTCTTTTTGGTCTCTTTAATTTTCATTGTCTCAGAAGCAAAGGTGCTTGAGGGTATTTACTGTATATCTATATTCCTTGTCAACTAGCTGAGACTTTTGGTACCAATTAGCGACTTTTGAGGGCTTTTCTCATACTTATTATCATTACGATCATCATAGATTTCAATATCCAGCTTATTACCCATATTAGGAGATAACTAACTATTTTTGAAACTGTTTAAGGGGCTTATATCTGGTTGGACTTTGTTAATCAATTTAGGGGTGGCTTCTAAAGTTAGCATTTACTAGGCGGCTGTCTTCTGATTCATATTGTTTTATATCATTTTAATTTTGCTCTACCTCATTGCGAAAGTCTGCTGCTAATTAAGTTTCTAGGGTGAATAGTCTTCAACCTAACTAGATTTGTAACTTTACTCTGATGGTTTTATGGAGTTTTTCTTAGAATCAGAATTTTGATCAAGTTGAGTTTTTTACTTGAGACTCTGCATTTACTATCTTACATTTTGAGAGTGTTACTAAGCTTGATTTTAGTACTTTGGCTTCATAGTCATTCTCTAGATTCTGATATCAACTGAATCTTGTGCTGGTGGATCAAAAGCATATGATTATATAAACAGTTTCTTTGCATCCTGATCATAACTTTGATTCAGCACATTGGTCTTTATTTTGATTAAGTCCAAACTCCCTCTGTTATTGTTGGTGTTCTAGATATTATTGCTATTATGTTTCATATCATTCATGCCTTCATTTATTATCTGTCTTGATATTAATTGTTTCAGTTTCATTCTATTCTTTTGACTCAATTAATTCTTGATCTCATCCAACACTATCTATTATATTTGCTAAATTTTCTGCTACTAACTGTTTCGAATTGTTTACGTATCTTGCAATTTGAGCTAAATTTCCATGGATGAATTATTTCTAGTCCTAGCCTAAGCGTTATTATGAGCAACGGTACCTCCACCACTTGCAATCTATTAAGCATTAAATCCATTTATTTATTATTTCAATTGCTATTGTAGTTTTTATTGAGCCTAAGAACCATTGACTGTCAATGTATTCTTAATGCTTTACTGAGTAGCTATTTGTTATTGTCTTTTTTATATCTGAGGCAAAAAGTAGAAATGAGATACTTCTCTATTGTCAATGAAATTTTTAGTTTCTTGGCTTACTAATTATACTGGATGACTGTTCTATTGATGCATTAATTGATCTTTAGGAGCTACAACTATTGCTCCCTACTTGCTATGAATTCTCTGATTTTTTCTATGTATAACTCCCTGAATATTACTGCTTTAAGAACCAGCAACATCAAGTTGCTTCTGCTTCTCAGCAATCAAATCCAAATTTTTACGAAAACTCTCTAAGTAGAGCGAATATGGTTCAAACTCTTGATGAGACAGCTTTCTCTGACTCTCAAGAGCAGGCATCTTTAGACTACTTTACTATGTTTTGAATTAATCTAAATCTATTACAGTTGTGCCTGTGGAAGGATTGCTTAGTTCTGTTTGACTGTGGATGCGGTAGCCAGAATGGGATTGTTGATAGGCTTTATTAAACAGCTTAATTCGTTCAGAGGATCCTGACTATTCGATTTACAATGAGTCGATTCCCACTTTATCCTCTACAATTTCTATCTTAGATTTTCTTCTTGCTTGAAATTGCTGCTGCATTTTTTAATCATTGACATCTGGTAATGACAAACTGCTTTGCTTCTAATTTCTATGATGAATTACATCGTCGAGGTATTCGTTCAGGATATTTTCCCTTTGAATCTCAGCCAAAGTCTTTTTATTCTAATATTTCTTTGCCATAATTTACTCAACGTCCTTACTTTACTTATATCTACTGTTTCCCGCATTGCTCGCTTCCTATATCATAGTATTTGTCCTAAGAGAATCATGAGCAGGTGCAAAGCTCCTATTTCAGGCAAAATCAATGGAGTTGGTGATCTGAAACCTGAAATCTTGAGTAATTTTAGCATTATTATTCCTCACTGATCCAGCATTCAAAATGTGATTGCTTCCTGAGGGCTCTCGAGATCGGAAAACAGCAAGCTAATTAATCTGCTTCCCGTTCAGATTCAAATTGCTTCCATCCTATGAACTTAGGTTACTCTGTCTTTAAGAAGCAAGACAACTTACATAGGGTTGATCCATTAATTAAAAGTGACTGCGACTTAATATAAGTATAAAAATTTAGTATAATTTGATTAATTATTTACTGGGATTAATACTCATCTTATTCCCCCAGTTTTACTATATTCTCAATAAAATCTAAATTATTCTAATTCTAAATACCCATATACACACCATATGTTACTTTACGGGGTTTTGGGGTTTTGGGG